TTAAGTTAAGTACATGTATTAATAAAATTTTATTGAGGTCGTCAGAGATTTACCGCTGGTCTGTTTCTTTAAATGTGTGTGAGACATATTCAAGTGTGTGCGCGATTTACATGCAAGTGATGGTATGTCTCTCCATCAAAAAAAAAAACTCAATCATATTTATGAACCTGGATACATTCGTATTCAGGTTTGTAGCTAGCATTTGTCTCTCTCTCTTTTTTTTTTACAGAGTAGTACTCCGTAGGCCTTAACATGTATTCCCATCAGGGCCTTGTGCAAAATATGTACAACCAGTTTCGTTTCTCTAATGGAAATGAAGGAGGCCTCATCCTCTCTTTCCAAAAGAAAAAAAAAAGGAGTTATCCCACTTTCAGTTTCGAACAAAGATACATGGCTTGTATGGAATTGAAATCAATTTCTGTCCGTTCAAAAGTTTGACCACTTTAATTGTATCAAATGAATGTTATGATTTGCTACCATTTTTTCCCACACTAGTTGAAATTCTATACCACTAAATTTGGTAGTGCCAAAACTCGTCAAGGTTTTAGCATTACTAAATTTAGTCAAAAACTCACCAAAGGTTTTAGCATTTTGATAGAAAAAATTAGTTCCAAATTAAACAAGCCCATATATATTCTTTTCCACTCAACTCGTAGCAGGTTGGAAATTATCACCTCATCCCATAGAGAAAATCCCTTGTATACCCCTGAAAGTTTACCTAATCCCTTCTATATCCTTGAATTTTGCTCAATCCCTTACATACCCCTGGATTTTAGTTTGGATCCCTTCCATGCCCTTTCCGCTAGTTGACCGTTAGTTGACCGTTAAATTCCTATGAAAAAGTCTATTTTACCCTTTGGTATAAATAAGCATATATATAAATTAATAGAGTATATTGTTGGAGCATATAAATTTGTTATATGAGACTATTATGTTTATGAGATAGTTATGCACCATATTATTTGCGATAAATATACTTTTAGATATGACATAAAAAATTAATACTTATTTATTAGTTATTAAAATATTTTTTTAGCATATGTATTCTGATAGTAATAAACAAATCTGTTGTATTACTATGAAAACACATATGCTACATAAAAGAACTTTAACTTTTTATATCATATGTAAAAGTAAATTTGTCACAAATAATATGGTGCATCACATACTCATAAATATAATAGTCTCATCCAATAAATTTTTACATTCCAACAATATACTTCATTAATTTATTATGTTTCTTCGTAGCAAAGGGTAAAATGGACTTTTTCAAAAGAATTTAACGGTCAACTAGTGGAAAGGGCATGAAAGGGATCCAAACTAAAATTCAGGGGTATGTAAGGGATTGAGCAAAATTCAGGGGTATAGAAGAGATTAGATGAACTTTCATGGGTATATAGGGGATTTTCTCCATCCCATATGAAAGTGACTAAGTGATCGAATACTATATCAGAGTCCATGAGCATATATACACACCAGAGACGACAGAGAGTAGTAGCAAAATCGGTTGTGTTTATCTGTTGGCTTTACATACGTACATGCGTGGACGTTGGCAAGAGGAGAGGCAGGCGGCACGCATGTGAAGAGACCGTCTCAATCGCAACCACTAATTTGGAGAACATTCTCTTGTCCTCCCTTGGGGAGAAAGGCCCCAAGTGCTAGCCTCCAATGCGTTACCTCCAAGCTAACCATCCCCATCTCCATCGATGCATTGTCTATCGATCTTTGCCTCCAACTCAATCATCTCCAACCAAACCAACTGCCACTGTGTATAACTATAATTACCTTGCCACTTCACCAATCTAACCATAGCATATATATATCCACTTATCTGATCGTTTAAGCTACAACTGATAAATCGTAGAAAAATGAACGAAACAACTAAAAGTAGTTTATATACAAAACTTTTAGATTTGTTTAATGGTTTAAAAAGTTCATGTTGAAAAGTAGAATACGATGAAGAATATTTTAAAATCAACTCTGAAAATAAGCTTTAAAATAAGTTTTGGATGTTGTTAATAAGCCAACAAACAGACGATGAAAACTACGTACATATGCTTTGTGCTAGCTTTACTTAATTAATCTGCACACTGAAAAATCTTTCTTGCACATGTAGAAAGGTATGCTAGCTAGCTATCTATACTCTTCGTGATCGATCAATAATTCTTCACTTGCATTACATTCCAAGTCTTGCAGGCTGCCACTCACCTTAGCTAATGCCTCTATATATTTGGTCAAAAGATGGATCAGTGGACAGTAACAGGATAATTAAACATGCATGTACATGAGCTTTACTTCTGCTATCTGACAATGACATTGGTCCGTTTAAGTATTTTAGTACCCCCTTCACATTTAATATATAACACCGTCCACTTCATTTGATCAAACTCATCGATAAGATTTTTCTTTATATTTACTTTACAATATTATAATATTGTTAGGTATTATCATTATATTTTAATAAAAAAATAGTGATCGAAGTTGAATTAAAAAATAATAAAGTTAACGGGTGTACGTATACTTAAATACGGAAGTAGAGAATAATATTTGAGGCCAATTAACAAACACCCAAAGAACCAATCGAACAGCTGGGGCAGGAAATACTGATGTTACTACCAGGGTTTACCTTATCATTTGGACCGGGATTACCACCACCCAGCGGTAGCACGATTATCGCGATAATCGCGCGATAATCGTCTAAAATCACACAAAAATCACATCCAAAAATTTGAATTCAAAACTCACGGTTTCAGAGCGATAATCGCACGGTTTACCGCGATAACCGTGATATTTGCACGGTTATCGCGGGATGTGTAGCTGAAATCATGTAAATAAAAAATAAATAGAGAAAAAAAAATCAAAAATACGGTTGGTTATGTGTATAAAACTAATAATTGAGAATAATTGGAATATGTAGGATACTTGAGGCCCAATGTTGTCTTCCTTTTTCCAATTTGTAAACTATTTTCGGTATTGCCCTTAAATTTGAAGTTAGCTTACTCTATTTCAAAAAATTTCTTCACCATTGGTAATTACAAATCAAGAACTACATCCATGATTTTTTTTTCAATTTTTTTCGATTTTTTCTGGAGTTTTGAATTTGGTTAAAATTCATCCAAACCATATCGCTGTTTTCCCTATCATACCCCCACGATAAGCGCGATAACCGCGATAATCATGCGATTATCGCGCGATAATCGTGCCGCACAATAAGTGAAACCCTGGTTACTACAGCTAAAGTCATGGCTGTTTGTTTGTTACCCGGATATGAAATGGTCAAGAAATAACTGCCTCGTCTAAATTGAAGTGCACGATCACATCAGTACATATTTCAGATACTGATTATCCTATATCGTCACAACAACTCTCCCTGCAAAAAGAAGAAAAAAAATCGTTGCACCTACTGTATCCATTTCTTACGAACATCATGCGTGATATAGTAACCTGCTATATCTGCACCTGCTCCTGTAACAAGATCGATGCGGTAGCTACTCGATGATTGTGTTGAAAATTTTCACTGTCTCTGTACATATATGCATGCGTCGATTGACCTACAGTTAGTCCAGGCAGTAAAACCTGATGACCCGTAAAATATATATATTAAAAAAACAAGGATATGTGTATCATGATCACCAGCAGACAGTGAACAGTGGCATGTAATATGGTCCAAATTTGTGGACCGATCGATGTGCATGCAGCTACCAAATTGTTCAGAGACAGCGGCGCCGGCCGGCCAGCCTGAAGACCTATCTGATTCTCAAGTACGTGGAGCCATCATCCTTTTCTCTGATTGGTATTGCTATGGCAATAGCAATCGGTCGATCAAACGAGAGAGAGAGAGAGAGTATAAACGAATCTGGAACGCATCCAACTGCACCGGACAAAATCGACTTCACAATGGAGAAAAATGGAGATCTGAAAGATGCATGCTTTTCTCCCATGTGTCTCTTGCTCTCTTCTTGCAGTAGCTAGCTACTACTACTACTGAAGTGTAGTGTAGTAGTGGAGCAGTGGAGCTTGCGCTGTGGTGCAGCTGCAGCATGGGAATAACTGAATAATGGCCAGGGATTCCCCTACATTTATACTTATATATGTGTACTCTACTCCGTATTTGATTGACCCTGCACTACTACTAGTCTCCATCAAGACTCAAAGAAAGGCCAAGGTTGACAGTACTAGTACACTGCTACTGCATGAGGGGTCTAGGAGAATATGAGTAGAGTATCTCACTGATCACCCTAGCTAGCTCTGGTCAAGGAAGCTTGCAGACTCTCTCTGACCAATTTCCTTGGTCTGAATTAGCCTAAATAGACAGAGAGAAATGATTAAGCAATATGTGTTATTAGTATCTGATATGATAATACATCATGTGTTCTTGTGCCATTGGTGGTGGTTGTTGGTGTGTGGTGCATTGCTGAGAAGGCTACCTTTATTTTGTGCTCTACTCTCTCCGTCTCATAAAGAGTCAATTTCTAGCATACCTAGGTAAAATTAGCAGAAAGTGAGAATAACTAAAATACCCTTAATCATTGTAAAAAGTAGTAAGAGTGATAGGTTGGTAAAGGGTATTGAAGAAATAAAACTTCTCGTTTTACATGCTGAGGGTAAGTAGGAGTGTAGAAGTTAGTTTTTTGTGAGAAAAAATTTAAACTGTAAAAGTTGAGTTTTTTTGGATGGATGGAGTATATATTAAAGTTTCTAGAATTCTACTAGTAGTAGCTAGCAGTATAGTAATAAATATATCATTTTCAGGTATACCAACAAACTAATACAGGTGTATGCAATTATGTACCATGAAAACCTTCCAAACTTTAATTTAGTGCATATGCATGTCAGCATGTGGCCAAAACCAAAATACACAATGTCTGAAGTGCTTTGTTGGCAGCTATAGCTAGCATGCTCATCTTTTTCCCTGCATTTATAGTAAACAATAAAAGAATAACCGTTGGGCAGCAGCAGTAATAAGAACAAATTGAGAGACCAAAAACAAAGCACAAGTTGACACCAACCCTTACCCTTCTATAAATCCAGCTGCTTCTCCCCCCACCTTTGCTTCTACCTCACCCACACCCACTGTTCTTGGCCATAGCTGCCTACTCCCATGGTCTCCTCGTCCTTGCCCTTGTGCTCGATCGATCACCAGCCGAGCTGATTTTTCTCTTCTGCTTGATCTCTACCTCTGACATGCATCTGAAGACCGGAGAGCATCTGCATCTGCCTATATCATCCGGTCATGGATATGGATAGATGACCGGCCTGTTCATGTCTGAAGAAAAATCAAAGGTTTGGTTTTGATCGGCTTGAGAGCGTGCCTGGCTCCCTGTATGCCACTCATGTAGCCCAATCCATGGTGTGTTTGGATGCTGTGGGTGGCGTGCAAGGAGCCAAGCATGCGTGCCATGATCTCTCTTTCTGCCTTAATTCAGTTTCAGACATGTGTAGTTGGATTTGTTTCCTCTAGGTGTTCATGTTAATTACATATTTCATGTTGATTTTGCCCGTTTGGATATGTGTTTGTCTGCTTGGTTTCGAATTGTTTTAGCAGGGGGGCAGAACTAATCAAGGATACTGCAAATCGTTGGAATTAATTTCTTGTTCAATCTTGATCCAGATAACTATGAGAGCTTTTAATCACAACGAGAAAAGGTAATCTCTCTCTATCAGCTGCCCCTTTTTCTTCTACTAGTTTATATTTAGATCGCATTCATACTCTTGACTAGCTCGCTGCAGTTTATTTGCATATGTTTTCCCAGCAAGATCTAATTAGATACTTAGATGAGATTTGGACTGTATGGTAATTTTGTTACTTCTCCTTGCGCATTTGTATTTCTGTTTATTTGTATTTATTCTCTGCTAGTACTGGAGTACTTGTTATGTTGCGTGTAATTAATTAAGCAATGTTAATTAAGTAAATTGTTAATGTACATACATACATGAGGTCATTTCTTGGTTTTCGTCTTGTACTTTAGTTCTTGAATTGTTCACTGGGCTGGCACTTAGAAAAAGCATAACGATTTAGTTTAATTGAGAAATGCCTATGGGTCTTCCCGGCTAGCTCCATAAGGTTGTCGGCTAGATGACCTGGATTCGAAGCTTCACAACTTCTAATTATTTGATATTAGGTCATTCCCTAATATTCACGTCTTTTTATTTAGTTTAATTCTTTTTTCAAAGAAAAAACTGACACGTATTTAAATTTCTGCTAGAAATGGCCATCTGTGGGATAGGGATAGAAAGCTTCAGTTACTAGTACACACTAGCTAGTTGTTTGTTTGATTTGGCCAAGAAATCTGAAGAGATATGGATTGTGTTCTTTGAAATTCATTACCTTTCTTCACTGTACTTATCGTGTGCGGTCATCCATGCTTGGACGAATTTCTTCTCTCTTTCTTAAGATCAAAGATTAAGCACCCATCATATTGTGCCTTAAGTACGTAATCCAATAAAGTTCAACATTAGGTTTGGCTCCTTAATTTGTACACTTAATTATTACATATGCGCTTCCAATTTTTAGATGAATAATGATTCTTTTGCAGCAAGATAAACTTAAACACACACAGGTGAAACTTTTAGATGGAAGGTACACTTGCTCTGACGGTAGCAAAAGTTGATCATGCCCTACTTTAGCTGTAACATGAGACATGTCAGCATATGCTTACATGCATGAATCAGCAGGGCTACAGTTTTATTATTTGCTTTGACAGCTTTCTCTCAACAATCATTCTCATTATATTTTTTATCCTAGGCTCCTTAGGAACATAGTAATTTTACAGGATTTTTGCTGAAATCGATCAGTTCAGTTCCCGCAAAATTCCACTGAAAATTAATCCTCTACTCCAAAGGCCTCTCTCTCTCTCTCTCTCTCTCTCACGTAGGATTTGCCACTGAGGTCTCAGCATCAATGGTGGCAAATTCTAGGTTTTGATTAATTTTTTAGATAATGAGGTTTTGATTAATTAGAAAACTATGCAGTGCATTGTATCAGAATGACAGATATAACATCAATTCATGTAGATAACTAAAGAACCTCTTATATATCTATCTCTGGGGTAGTACTAGTGATTTAAGTAGTACTGTAATCGGGCTTTGCTGATGCGAACTTCCTCTGAAACTTTTGCTAGCTAAAACCAAAATGCGGGACTGATGATCAGCATGGAGAGCAGCCTCAATTTATTTGTAGACGCTCAAGATTACTTGCAGATCTGTCAGAAGTAATACTGCCACAATGAGGATGTTTTATGGTTATATAGGCTAAAATATATATGAGTAATATTCCATGCATGTCTATCAGCATTGTAACTAGCTATACAGGATAAAAATTCACAAAAATTCATACAGAATCTCTCTTCGATATATTCCCTACTAGCAGATAGCTGAACCCTGAATAGAGCTTTGCAAGGTTGCAGTTAGCAGGTACAAGGCTCTGAGAGGAGTACAAACGAGTACTTTCCAATATATGCATTTGTCTGATAGATATGTACACAGTGACACAGTTTGTGATGCTGCTGGTAAAAGTCGTTCACTTCTGAAACTTGCTGAATCAGCTGCAGTTCGTTCTGCAAAGTTAAAATTGCACTCCGCTGCTCCAATTAAGCGAGCAAGCTTCTGTATCCATGCATCTTGAATTAAACTATACTCAAGCTTCTATACACGCTTTTTTTTTTGTAGGGAACAAAAAATGTGGGATTCGATGCTAAGGAGAAACTTAGCATCACAGAGAGGAAAAATGGTGAGAAAACCCACGCACGAGAGGGGACTCGAACTCAGACACACCTTAAGTTTTACCTCCTTATACCCGACATATATCTTTTCATAAAAGAAAGTGAGAGTACCCAAACTAACCTTAATATGTTGGAATATAATAGAAAACTTTTTTTTATGTTTGATTTTTTTATCTCTTCGGTTTTTTAAGGTACGACTGTACGGCGTACATGCCTCTCACTAGATATACAAGCGTACAAATGCATAGCCAATATTACTTATATGTTGACATAGAGGTAATATACAAAGTCTCGCTATTGCCAATCGTAAACTTGTTTTCTATCCCTACAAAGATTATATGAAAATGGTTACATGCATGCACCGCAGAATAAGGCATCGACCATTTGGAATATATGAAGTCCTGCAAAAACTGAATTATTTTATACTCGTATACTCCCTCTATCTCATAATATAAGGCGTGGTCAAAGTTGGTATGGTCTCCAAAACAAATCTTTAGCTTATAATTTTTTATATACTATAAGGTTTGTAGCAACAAAATTATAATCATATGAAAGTAAATTTAAATCTCAATATAATGATATAATTTTTAACAAATAAAATTTATTTCATATTATACTAAGTGCTGGTTAAATGTTTTAAAGATTGAATCTTGAAATACGTGCGCGTCTTATATTATGGGATGGAGGGAGAACTTGTGAAAATCATGTGAAATTTCTACATTTCCAAAATGTTCAAATTTGTTTTCAATTAGGCCTTGTTTAGTTCCGTTCCCAAAACAAAAAAATTTCACCCATCACATTAAATGTTTGGACACATGCATGGAGTATTAAATGTAGACGAAAAAAACCAATTACACAGTTTGCGTGCAAATTGCGAGACGAATCTTTTAAGCCTAATTGCGCCATGATTTGACAATGTGGTGCTACAATAAATATTTGATAATGATGGATTAATTAGGCTTAATAAATTCGTCTCGCAGTTTACTTGTGGAATCTGTAATTTGTTTTATTATTAGACTATGTTTAATACTTCAAATGCGTATCCGTATATCCAATGTGACAACCAAACCCAAAAATTCTCCCCAACTAAACACAGCCTTAGGGTCTGTTTGGGGGAGCTTAAGATTCTGAGAAGCAGCTGCTGAGAAGCTAGCTGGTAAAAATTTGGAGAAGCTGGAAAACCCAGCTTCTAGCTTGTTCATTTTCTAGATTCTACAACTACAGATTCTTAGAATCTAGGTAAAAAGCTAAATTGTTTGAGGGAGCTTCTGGTAACTGGAGATTCTATAAGAAGATGTAGCTGCTAGAAGCTCCCTAAACAAGCCCTTAGTATGACTTAAACATGATCGTTGGGTAGATAGAGTAGGAGTGTCTGATCATGACATGACCATATATGCGTGTGTACATATAATATCAGTGCATATGTGTATACCGCAATTGCCATAGTCGTAGTTAGCTCCATGCTCCTTGGTGCTTGGGGCCAAGCCAAGCACGATGGTACTCTTCTCTTCCCTTCCACCTGAGCTGCAAATGCATGTGGTGGCCCCACATCTCCCAGGTCTACTAGAGAGGACCTGTTTGTGCATTTGTGCTTGTTCACTTGTGCAATGCAATCAGAGAGAGAGAGAGGAGGTTAGCTTTGGCTATGGTAAGGGTAGCCATGCATGCACGCTTCAAGGATTCTTCATCAGCTTTCTCTCCTTCCAAGGCCTGCATCTGCAAGATGTCCTCCAAAAGGCATCAAAGGGTGTGGGGGAAAGAAATTCCTCCTCTCCTCATCTCGTGCTGTGTGTGATGCGTCGCTGCGCTGCGACTGCGATGGATGGCTCCACGCTCTGTCCGCATCTCTCTCTCTCTCTCTCTTTCTGCTCACCATCATCGATCGAGTGCGGCATGCTGAATTGCAGAGAGATAGGAGTACATCGTCGTAGGATGGAGCAGTAGACGAGCTACGAGCTACTAGCTACATACTGCATGATGATATGTTGTGTTGCTGTTCAAGTATGTTCAGTTCTGTCTACGAGCAAGCGAAGTGATCAGCAACCCCATTCTACTATATATATCCAACACGCCGGTGGGTGGAATCTGGAATTATACGGTGTCCAGAAGACCAGAACTGGTGCATATATACTCCCTCCGTTCTATAAAAAAATAATCTAGTACTTAATATGATATATACTAGTAATACAAATCTAGACAGTTAGAATGTATCACATGGTCATTGACACATGTAGTACACTATTGCAACTCTGAACTCTACCAGCAGGAGAAGGAGATGACGTCGGTGGAGTTGACCTCCTCGTCGGCGGTGAGGAACCCGTGCGCCTTTCTCGATGGTCCTGGTCGGTGGCAGTGGTGCTCAGGCCATCCCCTCGCCGGGCTTGAGCACCACCGCCGTTGCCGCCTTCTCGCCGGGATGGAGCTCCGTCGCTTGCCCAAACGTTTCTGTTGATTCCAAATAGAGTCAAAAAATAAAATACATTTAGCTTTTGATTGTATGTAGTAGTTAATTAACCAAATCCCATGACATGTATGGGACATGGTCCATTCCTATCATCCCCTTCATGTCTTACCCAAAATTTCAAATCGGAGAATCTTGGGTTCTTAGGGCATCCACACACGGATGCGGGTCGACTGCAGTACTGCATGTGCAGTAACTGCTCACTGACATGTGGGCCCCATAGCCCCTCGGGCCCACATGTCAGTGAGCAGTACTGCATGTAGTACTGCACATGCAGTACTGTGGGGGATCTCAGTTGCATCCACACTAGTCTGCCTCTTGAGGTTATCTATTTACAACTCCAACTCATCTGAAGACCCTCTAGGGCAAATGTATGAACTCGGGAAGGAGACATGTATGACTATGTTGGAAGGCTTGCACTTCCTCCCCAAGTTCGGATGGAGATTCTCAAATAGAGTTCAATTCTTTTATCTTGTGTTATGTCTTTTAGTTTATATTTTCTTTACATCATGTCAGTGTGTGCTGAGTTTGTTTATGTGTGGACTTTATAATAATTGGTTGTAACTCGTTGAGCAAAGACCCGAATGTTATTCCATTATTAAAAAAACAAACCTATGATGAATGGATTAGGATCAGGTGTAGTCGATAGTGTGACTGTAACTTGTGTAATTTGTGCAGGTGGAGGAATCTCTCCCTCCTTGTGACCTTCAGAATAAACTCATCTGAGGACAATACTAGGGACATTTGATAATATGTCATTCTTATTATATGAGTTTACCTTTAGAATTATTTATTAATCCCTCTGTTTTAGGTTATAAGATGTTTTGACTTTGCTCAAAGTCAAACTGCTTCAAGTTTAACTAAGTTTATAGACAAATATAGTAATATTTACATTAGCAAATTAGTTTTATTAAATTAATAATAAAATATATTTTATAATAAATTTATCTTGGATTAAAAATATTACTATTTTTTCTATAAACTTGGTTAAATTTGAAGCATTTTGATTTTGACTAAAGTCAAAACATCTTATAAACTTGAAACAGAGGGAGTATAATTTCTTACCACATCTCTACCCTCATAAGTCAAAATTTGTTCTTGTACATAGTTTTAGTGTCCATGCATGTTTTCTCTTCAGGGGCTGTTTGGTGTGGAGGATTTTCAAAGGAAAATAAATGGAATTCATAACCATAGTTTTTATTTTACCTATAGGGTGTTTGGAATAGAGGAATGGACCCGAGAAGCGTTTGGAAAACTTTCCAAAGTTTTCTCTATTCTTGTATTATTCTAATGCAAATCAAAGGAAAAGAAAATTGATCTCAAATCTGAGGAAGATTTTCCCTTAGAAGAGAAAGAAATAATGAGGTGAGCTTGAGAGTTAAAAAGAAATACATTACCTTGTTAGTTTAAGAAACTCTAAAATTCCTATACCCCAAACACCATCTATATAAAGTTTCATGTTTTTATTTCAATCATTTGTTCTGTACTTTTATTCATGTGTTTTATTTTCTCTCAATCCAAATAGGGCCACATTTTTTTCTCCACATAGGATTTTGATGATGTGCCAAAACTAGGATGACCTGTCATGGGCATTGGGCTCAAATATATCCCATTTTACTTCCATATAATCCTTGCACGTGGCATGGCCTAGGGGTGGCACCGTTGGACATTCCTTCAGTGTCACCTGTGTGGGCTGTACAAGACTACATGCACCACTAGGGAGTGTACTCGCGAGCATATGTATGTGGTGTGCTTGTCTAGGGGTATTTGTGCATGTGTATTTTTTTATGTAATTATAAAAAAATTAGAGTATGTGTTACTAACCATTTCCTTTCTTTTATTAATCCAAGAATTCCTAGCCTATATATATTGTTTTATTGAATGAGTGATACATAGGCATAGCAGAAAATGTATCTCTAATAGAGAGTGTCATCGGTGTATGGTGGAATCGTACATGCATGATTACACCCACCAGGTTTTTTAAAAAGATGAATATTAGGAAAAAAATCTAATATCAAATAAATAGAATTGGTGATGCTTCGAGTCTAAGCTGGTTAGCCCACCATCTTATAGAGCTAGCTGAAAGATCACTAGACGTTTCTCCCCACTAGGTTTAAAATGTGCTCATAAATTATTTTATTAGTGTAAACACCGAAAGTTATACTTGGTTTGTCCAAATGTTAGTCTCAATTAGAGCAAAGGTCACGGGCTCCAAAAGGCTAGCTTAATTAAAGCATTGAGAGCATGTTTCAAAAGTTGATGAGTGCGCGCTTGGCATAAATATATATATATATATATATATATATATATATATATTTCCTTTTGAATTTAGACATTTTTTAATATAAAGGAAGTTTGAATTGGACAACTAATTTTCTGCTGAGGCTTGTTGCGCTCGTGGCACTGACTAAGGGGGTGTTTAGATGGAACTAAAACTTACTTTTTAGCCCATGTCACATCAGATGTTTGGACGCTAATTTAGAGTATTAAACATGGACTAATAAAAAACTAATTTCATAAATGAGAGCTAATCTGCGAGACGAATTTTTTAAGCCTAATTAATCCATAATTATCAAAAATTTACTGTAGCATCACATTGTCAAAATCATGGCGTAATTAGACTCAAAAGATTCGTCTCGCGAATTAGTCCAAGCTTATGGAATGGGTTTTGTAATTAGTGTATGTTTAATACTCCAAATTAGTATCCAAACATCCGATGTGCCAGGGACTATTCTAAGTCCCTGGAAACCAAACAGCCCCTAAGCCAATCAATTAGCAGGCATCTTTACTCCTAACATACAACTATATTGACAAGTGTGCCAACTCAGTGGGTGTACTCATCAGTTCATCCGTGATTTCAGCCATTTGTTCCAATAAAAATGCACAGATGTAGCTTTCATGGAGTGGAAGATCAGGGTTGCATCTTTCCTCTCATTCTTACAGTTGCTAATGAAATCATTAGTAAACTAAGCAATACGCTTTATGGCATTGTTTTTGGACAGAGCCAAGGACAAACGACATGACTTTAAATTTTTAATATATATAAAATATGTGCATGCCTAGATAACACATGAATCAAGAACACTAGTCAAAATATGTTCAGATGTGATGGATCATGCATGGGTGTTGAGTGGACCTGCAGATTCTAGTACTTCACATAAGAGTATATGCTACTCCTAGATTAATTAACCAAGATCCCGGCCTGAATTGAAGTCATTGCTTGGAGTGGGCCAATGTGCTTGCTGCACAGCTTATTTTTTTCAAGAATGACCAAAAGAATTACATGTTAATATATTATAAGAAGAGAGCAAAGTTTAGTTACGCAACGCAAACGGTCAGAAAAGCCGTTGTCAGGGGCCAAGGAAAAAAAAAAGAAACCAAAAACAAATACAGAAAAGATTAGCCACTGAGAAAGAAAAACTCGTTTCTGGACATCTGCAGATGCATTCTTTCTTTGAAGGACAGGTTTTTCTGGCAAAAAATAAAAAGAACTTCAGTTGGATGAACTAATTAAGCAGAAGCCCTAATGTACAATTCCTGGCTTAACCTGCCCATAATTGAGGTAAATAATCGTCGCCACTACATTGTCTCGGCCTAATGGAAGTTAAAAATGTCTTGACTGAATATGAGAAGCTGTAGCTGCAAAGTTCAGAAATCGAATACCCTGATGAATGCTGCATGCCATCCTGGCTTTCCAGTGCTCCCTTTCTGAGCTGAGCCCCTAGCTGCTCATGTCTTTCTGGTGCCTGCCATCTGCCATTGTCACACTGCCTCATGGGCCCCACCTGTCAGTGACACATGGGAGTGGCAGTGTGTGCGTGTCATCTGAAGAACCCATTATATCCTGTGGCCATGTTAGAGTCTTCAGTTTAGCCGGTCCCTTCCATCTTCTCCTTGCAGATGATGATGGATGCTTTGCTTCTGCTGCATGCTATCCTGCCTGCTTGATCCAACGTCGCCTGCGACCATGTCGGAAGCTTACGAGACACCGGCTGCCGCTCTAACCTAATTCCACTGCAGATGAGAGGGGCCCTGCAAGCTTTGTGTACGTCCATGTCTGTGCCTGATGGCATCCTGTTCCTGTCCATGCCTGTGCATACCACAGATGCAGGCTGAGAAGAGAAGAAACTGCTCACAAGATACACAGAAACTTGGGGCTAAGTACAGGACAGAATGTGCACAGCACACACACATTGTGAAGGAAATTGAACTAATTGCATTTAATAGTATTCTGAAGCACAGTTCTCAGTTGGAATGTATGCAACTTCCTTTCCAGGCTTTCAGCAATTCACTGGAGTAGTGGTTTCTTGATGACACTTTGACAATTGACAGAGTTAATTCAGGACAGAAATGGGCTGTATATATATATATATATATATGTGTGTGTGTGTGTGTGTGTGTGTGACTCAGCAATGTGTTCAGGCTCAGTGAATGGGGATGATGCAAATTCTACATAAAGATCATGCAAGCACAAAAAATGAAGATAATATCGTCTACGCTACGGTTTTCCTCTACACAACTTTACACTTTCAGAAAGAGACCCATCAGTCGCGGTCCGATATGGCGGTGACCGTGATGGAGGTGCGCGTCGTCTCCTGAGACGACGAGGGAGTTGAGCGCGCCATGATGGAGGTCAACAGTGAGGAGGAGGATGTGGCCTTGCTCCTGAGCTTGAGGTCCCTGAAATCCCTGATTACATCAGGCTTGCTGATCTTCTCTTTGTCGACCTCCATCTCGCCTGTCAGCATGCTGATGACCATTGACATGGTGGGTCGACGTTTCGAGATGTCCTGGGTGCACAAAAGACCGACTTTCAAGAATCTGCAGGCTTCGTCGACATCCACGTCATCGACCATAGAGCTGTCTATGGCCTTCTCCAAACACCCCTGATCATAACATTTCCATGTCTGCAAAGGGAAGACCATGTGGTCATCAACATTTGGGTAACATACGTACCGTTGGATGACAAAACCCAAAGTTATAGCAAGATTTGTCCCTGAATAACACATGGGAATCATGACATTTGTGGTACTGTGATGCATACAATGGTAGCTAAGCATGGAAGACTTGCCCTAGAGTGAGCTAATTTAGAACTCTTAACATCATCATTGAACTCTTAAAATAAAAATTAAGTTGCAGTAACAAGCCAACAGCTGTACAACATTTAGCCTCAAACTGAAAAGTTCGGTACATCATATCTTGTCCAAGAAGCGAGATGCTTGTATTTCAAATAGAAAAAAGCATACCTTCTCAAGAAGGATCTGGTCTTCGTAGGGCAATTTTGTGTCAGTGTTGCATCTTCCACTAACTATTTCCACAAGAAGAACACCAAAGCTGTAAACATCTGACTTGCGTGTCACTTGTCCTCGGATGGCATATTCAGGAGCCAAGTAACCTCTGAAAGCAAAACCACAATATAAAGAAAGGAAGAGAAGGGTATAGCAGGGTGTACATATAGTTCTTAAGTTATCACAGACTAGTTTATTTTTTTACTCCATTTCATTTGCACTCTTTATTTTGATACACAGCAGGTTTCAAGACATATGGAGAGCAAAATCCGATGACCATAGTGAGTAATAGTATACTCTCTTCTCCAGTAAGTTTGATGGACTAGGACTATAGATGCTAGCATCCAAATCACTACCTACAAATAACTACCAAACCAGATATATGCTATTACTTACAGTGTTCCTGCGACTCTTGTACTAACATGTGATGCATCTGAAGGCAGAAGCTTCGCTAAACCAAAATCAGAAATTTTTGGCGTGAGGTCCTTATCAAGAAGTATATTGCTCGCCTTGATGTCACGGTGAACAATGTGAGGCCGGACACCATCATGGAGGAATGCTAGTCCCTTGGCAACACCGATGCATATATTTACTCGAGCCCTCCAGTTGAACTGTATGTTACTTTGCCTAGAACCTTAAAATGTAGCAAGCAGAAGGTTTTAGAGCATATGCATATTTTCCCAAGGAGAAAAGAATACAGAGGATTCAGTAAAGACAAACTACCTAGAAGGGTATGTGCAAGGCTATTGTTTTCAAGATAATTGTACACAAGGATTCTGTGCCTCCCTTCCACACAACAGCCATGCAGTTTGACAAGATTCTCATGTGAAATGTCAGAGATTGCCATAAGTTCATTAAGGAACTCCTTCACACCTTGTCTAGATTGTAACGACAGCAACTTCACAGCAACATCTGTTCCATCCTTGAGAGTTCCCTGAAATAATAAGCTGGCAAATGTCAAACACATGTAATATACTCTAGTACAGTATGCAATGGTAAATGTATAACCTTGTATACAGGTCCAAAACCTCCCTCACCAATCTTATTGGATTGGTCAAAATTCAGTGTTGCCTTAGCCAGCTCCTTATAGCTGTATCTTGTTATGTTCTCAGCACCAGAGAAGACTGTGGAAGTAAAGTTAAATGTTACAGAGAGATGCTGGCTGATGAAATGTTCAGGAAGGACATATCATAATCCAGAATTTCAGATTGTGAAATCGTACAAAAATTTTGGTGTAAAATTGGTAACCTTCATTATATGGATCACTTTGTTGCTGCCCGGTCCTTGACCTCTTGAAAAAGAGAGAAAAACAACTCATCACTGAGATGTTTCAAGCTATGGAAAACACAGCTGTGTTGTGCCTGGCTTAATTGAGATGTTGTTCGATGTATGCACACAGAGATCATAGATGTTCAGCAACAGCCATTGTATCCTGACATAGAAGAATATAAATAGATGTCAGTGCTGCCTATAAAAAGTAAAGATACAAACAGCATGCTAGGCTGCCGGTAGCATGTCCTCTCAAACATTAGCTCAATGTATACATTAGAGTCAAACAGCAAACAGAATGGCAGGAACTGCAACTAAGAGAATAACCAATGTAACTTGGTAATCATGAAAAATGAAACAACAACTTCATGTTACTAAAAACATTACATAGCATTGACACAGAACGCATCACAGTGCAAAAGAAAATAAGTGACATGTAAGCGAAGGTGAAGTGGTTATGGGAATTTTACATTTTGTTTGATAAGAACCAGGCAACTAGGAGGCCTTAAGAAAAATTCTTGGATTAACCCTACAGAAATTTCTCAAAAAGTTATCTTGAATTCTTGATTAGCAGATGATCACAAAAAAAATCTTCTTGTTATGTGTATTACAATGACAGGTTTGCACAGTTACAAAGAAAAAAACTAAAGTTTCAAGTATAGTATTTTCGAAAGTACCCAAGTCCCATTGGCACACAAACTACGTTGGACATTGCTTAGCTTAAAGTTCAAACATGGGCAGCAAAGTCAATAATATAGAAAGCAGTTTCAGCTCCACCAATCCAACACATGTGGAGTTTTAACTGTTGCAAACACAGAAATATACGGATGCAGTTAAAATGCGCTAGCTTAGTAATTATCATTGATTAGAGATATTGCAATTCAATGCGCAATACCAATTTAGGTGAACTTTCAAGAACGGAAGTCGTCCAGGACCACTACACTACTACAGCATTTTCCATACATCAAATGGTCTCCTAGTGGCTATACACCTTTCTTGTCATCTTGGTGTAGGCATCAACATCATGACCATTCCTACATGGATAAGCACCGAACAAACCTAACGAAAAATAACAGTACAGGTTTTTTTCATGAAAGAACAAGAAGAGAAGACACCCTACCCAAACTGGATCAATCAATAACAAAAGGGTATCTTCCGGGACCGGAGGCACATCATTTGCTTTCATCGTGATGCAGAACAAGGGATTGTAACCCATGCCCCATGCCCCCATGGAAGTGGCACTGAACAGTCACATGACAGAATATCTATGCTGGTATCTAGTACGGAGTGATTGATTACTGCAAGTAAGCAACGTATGATTGGGTTCAACTTGCACAGATACAATCATACAAACACTATTCAAGTCCAACTCGCCAATTATATGTGCTAATCGCATTACTTTTCTTCCCCAACTCCCTAAATCGTATTGCAAGCTATCAAAAGTTTCATCAATTATGATACTGATGATGAACAGAAGTACAGAACCCCCCCCCCCCCCCCAAGAATAAATTCTGCTAAATTAAAATCTCATCACTAAAGTTCACGAATTTTTGAACTCACTCCTATTTGATCATTAATACTGAACACCTGAACCGTCTCCCTTGTCCAAGAAAAAGGAAAAAAACTAAAGATCGAATATTTTTCCTACTACAAAAATCCACACTGAACAGATAGGCTCACCTCGATCCAAGCGGCGAAACCGACGATCTCCAGTCGAAACCGGCAAGCGAGAAAGATCGAAGAACCCGACGGCTTCCGCCTCCGGCGCCAGTCGAGACCCGGCCGGCCCACGCCGCGCGCGGCAGAGGAAAATCTCTGCTCCGGCAGATTGAAAAATGGCAGGTTTTTCTTCTCGCCCCGAAGCGAAAAAACAAAACGAAGAGAGATAGAGAGGAAAGAGAGGGAAAGGAGGAGAGAGTAGAGAGAGAGAGCAAAGGCGATTGTATTAAGAAACCAGCAATGAAGAACGCCGCTGTCAAAAGCGTTGACTAGTTAAGTGCTCCTTCCGTTTCACAAGGTAAGTCAATTATAACATTTCCCATATTCGTATTGACTAATGAATCTAGACACACGGATATAAAAAATACTAGAATAACTAAGTAGCTATCCGTCCAAGCCACGAGCCGGACACAAGCATGATGAGCTCGAGCTGAGCTCCAAGCTCGCTGGCTCGGCTCGGCCGCGTAGCACACCACTAGGGGCCCCCATTGGAAGAAGCTTCGGTGGTGCTGGTCACTAACATAGACAGGGTGTGTTTAGACGTTGGGTTTAAAGTTTTGGCGTGTCACATCGGGTATTATATAAGGTGTTGTATGAGTTGTCTGGTATTAATAAAAAACTAATTGCAGAATCCGTCAGTAAACCGCGAGACGAATTTATTAAGTCTAATTAATCCATCATTAGCAAATGTTTACTGTAACACCACATTATAAAATCATGGAGCAACTAGGCTTAAAAGATTCGTCTCGCAAATTAGTCGCAATCTGTGTAATTAGTTATTTTTTAGCCTATATTTAATACTTTATGTAGGTGTTCAAACGTTCGATGTGATAAGGTGTAAATTTTTTGAGTGGGATTTAAAGAGGCCCTACAAATGAAATGTGATTCTTTCTAGCGCAGGAATGTAGACAAAGCTCTATTCAGATTTGTTGTACTATAAGATATCATATCCCCTTCTAGATTAAGCTTTTCTGAGAGGGAGAGAGTAGATCCTTACTGTATTGTTTGGTGTTGTAGTAGTGACTAACTTGTGAGTTTGAGTCCGAATGTATACATCAGTGTCTACACACCATAGTTTGTAGCTTGTATGGTCGGCTTGTATAACCATTAGCGTATAATGAATTGAGTATGGGTAATTTTAAACTTCAAAAATGTATTAAATTGATTCTTTAAAACAACTTTCGTAAAAAACTTTTTAGAAACACGTGTCTTGATAGTCTGGGAATCGTACGTGTGATGTGTTCAGCAAAAGCAAATGAGTGAAAAGATCTCTCTTTTTCACACGAAAGCTTTCAAAACTATCAAACAACGTGTGTTTTCAGAAGTTTTCTTTAAGATAGTTGTTTTAAAAAAAATATTAATCTACTTTAAGTTTAAAGTAATTAATATTTAATTAATTATATGTTAATTAGTGGTTCAACTCGTTTAATACGTCTTCTCGATCTTTTCTAATTCTCTCATCTTAAAACACTCTCTCGGATAAATCTGTTATACGTACGTGCATCTGCCATAGAGTTCGTGATGGTTTACGCGAAACAATGACTCGATTGATCAGAAGCTATAGCGATCGTGAAGATCAGGAGCTTCCTGGAAGGGATAATTTTTTTTTTTTTGGGATTAGTTGCTGGGTGTCAAAATTTGACCGAAAGATTTAATTTGCTGTTTGAGAGAGAACGATTCGGACGCGATCGAGCTTAAGTGTCTCCACGACGACACGGATATTCTGGGAAGGTTAGGCTGACGACTTTAGCGTTGGAAACCACTCAAATTTTTATTTTACCCGATTCATTTGTAGCAATTAAACTACTCTCTTAAGTTGATAGCCGGCACCGGCATATCCGGCGAGTTAACTAAACACAAGGTTTTTGCATGTGATTACCGTGATTAAATATTTTTGAATAAGACGAACTATCAAATATGTTTAAAAAAGTCAACAGCGTCAAATATTTAATGAAGAAGAGAGTACATATATACTGTATATCTATATATATAGTGACATAATGTAGATAACTACAGCGTAGCAGCAATACTCCCTCCGTCCAAAAAAAAAAAAGACAAACCCTGGTTTCCATGTCCAACATTTGACCGTCCGTCTTATTTGAAAAAATTATGAAAAAAATTAAAAAAACAAGTCACGCATAAAATATTAATCATATTTTATCATCTAACAACAATAAAAATACAAATTATAAAAAAAATTCATATAAAACGGACAGTAAAAGTTGGACACGGAAACCCAGAGTTTACTTTTTTTTTTACCGAGGGAGTACGTAGAGTGTACAGTGATGCAGATATATTTTTGACTGTATTATTACAGTGGAGACCATGACGTCTAACTAGTGACGAGACGACGTCAATCTAGGCGTACGTACGTACTACACCCTCCCTCCGTTTTATAATATAAGATATTTTGATATTTTTTAACTACTCATCTTATTAAAAAGAATTATACAAATATAAAAAACGAAAAATTATGCTTAAAGTAATTTAGATAGTAAAGTAAGTCACAAATAAAAATAAAAATAATTTTATTTATTTTAATAAGACGAATGCTCAAACAGAGTAAGTAAAATATCAAAATCCTTTATATTATCTTACGAGAGTACTATGCTGCACCAGCTGTCCTCCAAGAATATTCAACTTAGCTCCTGGATTTGCTGCGATCAAGAGATTGACCGACGACGAAGCAGAACCACCCGTGGTAGTAGTAACAGCGACACTGTTTGCGAGTGGATCGCGGTCCATGAAATGTCATCGTCGTTAAACATTTAATTTAGATTAAAACGAATAATTGAGTGGATTATTGCTATAAATTATTTTGTTGATTGTAGATGTATATTAGATAATTTCACAAATAACTTATACTTGGTCTAAGCAGTATAAGTAGAAGAATGTCTTTTAAGAAAATGAATTTTTCTATTTGATATTAAGAAAGTGGCTAATCCCTCCCGTGGCAGCTGGTTTCAGGATTGGTGGCCTTTCTCTAGGGCTTGTTTACCTGGGCATCTTCGAGCCGGTTTCGACTCCCTAGTGCTCCTGGTCTCTTGGCAGCTATGGAAGAGAATGGAACTACAGGGTCTTTGACTCGGCGCTTTCTTCTATCTCTGTGGTCCTGGAGTACATCCTCTCGGAGGGTCACCTGTGGTCCCTAGCCGGGGTTGCCGCTTTTGGGGTTTTCTTAGGAGTGTAGCGTGTCTCTGCCCCTTCCCGCTATTAGGAGTTGAGTTTAGCCGCCGTAGTTCCTTTTAAGCTTTAGTTTAAGTTTTTTTTCCCCCTCCCCTTGGTATAAGCCAGTTTGGCTGATTGCGTCGTGTAATAAAAACTCTTCTTCTTCTAATATATTGACGCGCAGTCCTTTTGCGCATTCGCGAAAAAAAAAAGAAAGTGGCTAATCCTACTACTACTAGTTGGTCCCATACTTGGTCTCTGATATCACATCAGGAGCATAGTTATATGTACAGTAATGTCATATTTTTGGAATTGATAATCAAGTATCTTTTGTTCCACTTTGAATAAAGTATTACCTACAAAAATTATTGGTTAGAATTTGTATGATTTATCATAGCTTTTAACTAAGGTGATCTCTTGCAGTAAAAAGGAAAAACCTAAGGTGGTCTCTTTTAGGCCCCCTTTAATTCAAAGGAAATTCATAGGAATTTTAGAAGATTTCATTCCTATAGAAATTTTTCCTATATATCTCTTTGAATCAAAGGAATGAATCTTATGGAATCCTATGAAATTCCTATGGAATGTCTAATGCCATGTAAATTTTGGAGGAATTCTAACATGAGGTAGAACCTCATGGAAACTTTCCTTTGAGTCTTTATCTCTCCTCTAATTCCTGTGTTTTTCCTGCGGTCCAATCAAACGGCCATTCACGTGTTTTTCTTGTGTTTTGCAATCCTCTGTTTTACACTTACATTCCTATCAAAATCTTACGTTTTTTCTAATCCTACGTTTTTTCATTCATGTGATTCAAAGGGGCCCTTAAGGAATTGGGGACTTGTTCCATCACTTCATATTGTTTTTTTTTCTTTTTTTTCCCTCAAAAATAAAACTCATTGATTATAGCAGATGTTGGAGATTAATCATTTTTATTATCTATTTAACAAATAATCCGTTGCAACAATCTGAAAAATGATGTGAAAATATATGTGGCTGCTCTGCTGGCTGACAGCAAGAAGAGACAGCTTCAAACATGGCGATCGATCGATGGAAGTCTCGCTCAGATGTGATGGACCCACGATGAATTGCTTGGAAAAGTCTCTACTTCAACTTTAAATGTATAAGGGTAATTAAGGTGAGATGTGGAATTGGATGGTGTTTTCGTGGAAAATCTGTGGCACTACTGAAATGAGATTTGTGGGTTTGGTTGTTCCGTTGTCCGCGTACTCCATCTGTTCTTAGACAAATATTGTTTTTCACAGAATGTTGTGAGAAGAAGAATGATTGACTGTATTTTTTGGCGTATAGTCTGGTTTTAAATAATGACAAATTAAACGAAGGTATCAAGATGCTTCAGCAGGAGGTTGAACTGGAGGCTGGTGATCAGGGACTATCGGCATGTTTGGGAGAGCTTAAAATTTTGAAAATCAGTTGGTTGGTAGTCAGCTTCTAAGAATCTAAAAAAGCAGGGTTTCTCAACTTCTGACTTCTAGTTCATTTTCTGGATTCTGCAACAACAGCTTCTTAAAAACTGGACCACAAGCTAGATTGTTTTAGAGAGTTTCTGGTTCTGAAAGAAACTGCATTAGTTAGAAGCTCCCTAAACAGGCTCTACGACTTCACCAGGCCAGCTCGCGACTCGTGAGGAATCTGATGAAGACCAAAGTATATGTCTTTGTTTACTTTTGTTTTCTGTCTGGTAGTAGGCTGATCATTTTAGAATTCAATAACTTAATTCCATTCTGGTACTACTCCGGTGAAGGGTGTATTCCTATTGACTGATCTTGAAACATCCATAACATCTGGTCCATATTTATGGCCCTGGCTCCCTGCTGACAATTTTTTATAAGATTTCCAGATTTTTGGGTTGTTTTGGTTTGAAGCCAAAACTTTCCCAACCAAATGTCAATATCTAGAATATTAATTTGGCACCATTTATTTTGCTATCAAAATTTGTTTGCCAAAATTTCATTTTGGTAGCAAACCAAATAAACCCTTTACTTTACGCTTCAACCAACAGATTCCGCTCTACTGGTATATCAGACTCCCTTCATAAAAAAATGTATGATGTTGTTGACTTTTCGTGTAATGTTTGGGCATTCATTTTATTCAAATATATATAAATATCATTTATTTTCTTAACTTATATTTTTACATTTGTACTAAACTTTTTTTTAAATAAAATGATTGGTTAAATGTTATATGAAAAGTTGATAACTTATATTTTGGAAGGGGGAGTATGATGTAACTTGAGCAAGAGGAGGACGACGATGCCTAGGTGGGCCTCAGCCCTCAGCTTGCCGGGGATGGGCCGGAACGAGGTGTAATTTGGGCCGAGAAGTGCCGCCACTAGTTGGGCTTCAAATCTGGCTGTTTTGGTCTGGGCTGAGCCAGGCCAGAAGCCCATCACGTATTACCTGTGCTAAGCTCCCACTGAAATTTCTCCTACTGTCGTATAATATCGCCGTCATATCGGTGACCTCACTTCAAACCGGTGGCGCTGCCGCACTTTGCATAATTGCATCCCTTTGTACAACGATAAATTTAATAATTTTAACACGATAAAATGAAATTCGATTATTTAATATCCCGATTCGTTTTTATTGACTCAGATGGTCTTACGTGTTACCCGCACAAATTTTCAATTTAACAAAGTGTTACATCATTAAAAAAAACTACTCTCTCTATCCCAAAATATAAGAACCTAAAATCGGATGGGACATTTCTCGGTACAACGAATCTGGATAGTAGGAAATGTCCTATCTAATCCTATGTTTTTTTATTTTAGGACGGATGGAGTACTTTTATTGACGTTCTCTAGCGAGTAGTGTCAACATTGCTTTCCATCCCGAGTACTCCATCCGGTTCCATAATTCTTAACCTTTTGAAGAAGATTGAGATTAAATTATTATAACTTTAACTATTGATAACTTTAGAACTATTTAGTTTAAAGGCACCAGAATAACGTACATATACAAATTTGCCTTACATAGTACTATAATAAAAATAAAAAAATATTTATTACAATTAAAAAATAGTAAATGATATATTTTAAAGACAATGCCATTATTAAAAGTCCAGAATTATGAAGCCGGATCGAGTACTGATTACTGAGCGATGATTGTTTTCCTGCTGAGTACTGAATTTTCTTTTCTTGCAACGCCGCGGTCGTCAGGCTCCATGCCCGGCCTGCCATGCCATCCCGTCGAAACGGCGGCCGCCGGCTGGCCGTTCCGGCCGCCGGAATTCGCGCCCATTTCGGAGGCATCTCGAATCGGCTGGCTTCTGACACACCTTATCAAGAACGCCTCTCGAGGCTGCCGCGAAACTACTGCCCAAATTCCCCATCTACCAGCTCTCGTCGTCTTCACTGGGAGTCAAGGACACCGGGACCAGATCAGCAACCATGTTGCCCGGGTGACCGGGTCAGAAACGACCAAATGACCGGTCGGTCCGTCCGTCCATTCACGCGGCTTAAGAAGGGCATCCATGGCGACCTTGACGATTCAGTAGCATTAGGCCATTAGCATCGCAAGCTGCCCCCTCTCCGTCTCCGGTGCGATCGATGGCGACGAGAGCTCGGCCGCCATTGGTGCTATTGCTGTGTCTCTGCTTGGCTTCTTGCTTGAGCTCGGCCATTGGTGGCGTTTCAGCTGCCGGCAATGGCTACCGGACCACGGCATTCCTGGTGGATGAGGAAGGGAGGCGGCTCAGAGCCGAGCTCGCCGCAGTCGCCGGCGCCGGCGGCGGGTCCACGGCGGCGTACGGCGACGACGTGCAGAGGCTAGACGTGTATGCCAGGTGCGCGCAGCTCCATTTTAGCATTTTTTACCGCAATTGTTCGATGAGCTAGCTAGCTTTAATTTTAGCTTTTCTTTCCGAGAATTGCTAAGATCAATTAATTCTTGAGCTCTACTCCTAGAGGGCAGCAGGGAGTACCAGCTAATCACCGTTATTTTTTTTTATAAAATATGATTTCTAGAAGAGCCAAAATGCCAAAAAAAAAAAAGAAATCTAGGATTCTCCAGGACGGCTTATCCGGTGCTAGATTATGATATTAAGAGAGAGACATTACCCCTTAGACCAAGTTTAAAACAGATTATTATGGATTAGCTTAGGAAAAGGATCTAAACAACGTGCTAGAAGAACTTTTTTTAGAAAACATATTTTCTACATCCGTACAACAAATAATACAGAACAATAATAAAGTGAAATGACCAAAAAGAACAAGGCCGAAGTTTATGATATTACAAGTAGAGATGCTGAATTGCTGATTGGTCGATTATACATGTATAATCCGTACAATGATTAGGACAACGTACTAGATAAGTCATCTAGAAGAGAAGACTGCTTACAAAAAAAACAAGAGACCACAGAGCGACAAAGCCACAGAGGGTTAAAACCTTAGGTCTGTTTTTTCTTCAACTCCAATCTACAATTTTAGCATTTTCAATTAATTCATTTTTTAAATTATTAAATGATATGTTTTCTAAAAAACCTTCTTACATAAAAGTTTCTTTAAAAAATAAATAAACCTACTTTTAAAATTAATAACATTAACATTTATTTATTTATTATTTTAATGGTTTATCTGTGAAGCTAAAAAGCTAAATGAGATTCCAATTGGCAAAATCAAACTGTTTTAAGTTTGACTAAATTTATAGAAAAAAATAGTAATATTTTTTACTCAAGATAAATTTATTATAAAAATATATTTAATTATTAATTTAATAAAACTAATTTAGTAATGTAAATATTACTATATTTATATATAAACTTAGTCAAACTTAAAGCAGTTTAACTTTGACGAAAATCCAAACATCTTGTAACCTGAAACGGAGGGAGTACAAGATAATCACCGTTATTTTTTTTTTGGCTCGCCGGCGGCAGCCTGGAGACGGACAGCCGGCTGCACGTTCGCATCGCCGACGCCGACGGCCCGCGATGGGAGGTGCCCCAGGACGTCATCCCGCGCCCCTCGCCGGAGTTCTTCCTCCAGACGTCGCGTCCGGGCCGGCCCGTCCTCTCCACGGCGACCTCCGACCTCACCTTCGCCATCCACGCCTCCTCCCCGTTCCGCTTCGCCGTCTCCCGCCGCTCCACTGGCGACGTCCTCTTCGACACCTCCCCCAACCTCGTCTTCAAGGATCGCTACCTCGAGCTCACCTCCTCGCTGCCGCCGCCCGGCCGCGCGTCGCTGTACGGCCTCGGCGAGCAGACCAAGCGCACGTTCCGGCTCCAGCGGAATGACACCTTCACGCTCTGGAACTCCGACATCGCCGCCGGCAACGTCGACCTCAACCTCTACGGCTCCCACCCCTTCTACATGGACGTCCGGTCAGGCGGCGGCGGCGCGGCGCACGGCGTGCTCCTCCTTAACAGCAACGGCATGGACGTCATCTATGGTGGATCGTACGTCACCTACAAGGTGATCGGCGGCGTGCTGGATTTCTACTTCTTCGCCGGCCCGTCCCCTCTCGCCGTCGTCGACCAGTACACCCAGCTCATCGGCCGCCCTGCCCCCATGCCGTACTGGTCATTCGGTAAGCTAGCTCTCTGTTTTGCTCTGCTTCTTCTTGCATGATCTCGCCGCCGACATTGTCCGACATTGTTGCGGTGCGTCGTTGCAGGGTTCCACCAGTGCAGGTGGGGGTACAAGAACGTGTCTGACCTGGAGGGCGTGGTCGCCGGCTATGCCAAGGCGAGGATCCCGCTGGACGTGATGTGGACGGACATCGACTACATGGACGCCTTCAAGGACTTCACGCTTGATCCGGCGAACTTCCCGGCCGACCTGCTCCGGCCGTTCGTCGACCGCCTCCACCGCAACGGCCAGAAGTACGTCGTCATCATTGACCCAGGTACACAAGATCGATGGATCGCTTCAATGGTGAAATTTTGATCGGTGAAATTTTGAGCAAAATTTAGTTGAATTTGAACAAATATTACCAAAAATTCATGAAATAAATAAATAAATAAATAAATTCGGCCAAAATAATGTCGTATCGGAGGGGGTCCAAAATGACCGAAATTTCAGTCCGAAATTTCCAACCCTGATTCTGTCATCAGTCGGGAAACTCTTTTAATCACCCGGTGGATGTCCACCCGTTTATTGCATGTCATCTAAATAGTTATGAAATTTTTTTAAAAAAATTGACAAGATAGATCAATATGTAATATATCACTTCACAAATATGAAAGTTAAAATTAAACTTCTACAAATTGTAACAAAAATAACTTAAATTAGCATACTCATATTTGTAGTTGAATTTGTTATTTTTGTTACAACTTGTAAAAGTTGAATTTGAACTTGCATATTTATGGAGCGATATATTACATATAAATATATCTTGTTAATTTTTAAAAAAAATTTCATAACTATTTAGGCCATGTTTCTTTCAGCTTGGGATTATTATAATCATGATTATTAGGAGTAAGCTGAAAAAAACAGACAACTTATTGAAATAGCTTATTATAATCTAGAGCCCAACTTATTATAATCTGATAAGCTCATTTAGGTGAGCTTTTTCCAGATTATTGGGTAAAAAATTACCTACCATACCACCCCACTCCCTATGTAGACTTACAAACCCAATAATATAGACTCTAATAATCTACACAAGAAACAACTAACCGTTTATTCTACTACAGATTATAACAATTTAGTTTATATTAATCTGACTCAATAATCTAGATTATAATAATCTTAAACTGAAAGAAACAGAGCCTTAGTTAACATGTACCACCCGATTAGAATCCATCTCCGTCGTCAGTCACCAATGGCGGTTGTTTTTGTAGGGATCAGTGTGAACGCGACGTACGGGACGTTCATCCGAGCGATCAAGGAGGACATCTTCTTGAAGTGGAACGGGAGTAACTACCTCGGTGTGGTGTGGCCGGGGAACGTCTCCTTCCCGGACTTCCTCAACCCGCGCGCCGCCGAGTTCTGGGCGCGCGAGATCGCCGCGTTCCGGCGGACCCTCCCCGTCGACGGGCTGTGGATCGACATGAACGAGATCTCCAACTTCGTCGACCCGCCGCCGCTCAACGCGCTCGACGACCCGCCGTACCGCATCGACAACTCCGGCGTGCGCCGCCCCATCAACAACAAGACGGTGCCGGCCTCCGCCGTGCACTACGGCGGCGTGGCCGAGTACGACGCGCACAACCTCTTCGGCTTCCTCGAGGCGCGGGCCACGCACGACGCGCTGCTCCGTGACACCGGCCGCCGCCCGTTCGTGCTCAGCCGCTCCACGTTCGTCGGCTCCGGCAGGTACACCGCGCACTGGACCGGCGACAACTTCGCGACGTGGGACGACCTCCGCTACTCCATCAACACTATGCTTAGCTTCGGCCTCTTCGGCATCCCCATGATCGGTGCCGACATCTGCGGCTTCGGCGGAAACACCACCGAGGAGCTCTGCAGCCGATGGATTCAGGTAACAGAACACGTCGAGCTCTCATGTCCTCCATTAATGGCGTAAGTAAGTTTGAGCTTGGTTTGTGTGTTTGAAGCTTGGCGCGTTCTACCCGTTCTCGAGGGACCACTCGGCGATCGGCACCGTCCGGCGAGAGCTGTACCTGTGGGAATCGGTGGCGAGGTCGGCGAGGAAGGCGCTCGGCCTGCGCTACCGGCTGCTCCCCTACTTGTACACGCTCATGTACGAGGCGCACACCACGGGCGCGCCCATCGCGCGGCCGCTCTTCTTCTCCTACCCCGGCGACGTCGCGACGTACGGCATCGACAGGCAGTTCCTGCTCGGCCGCGGCGTGCTCGTGTCACCGGTGCTCGAGCCGGGCGCGACCACCGTCACCGCCTACTTCCCGGCGGGACGGTGGTTCAGCCTCTACGACTTCTCCCTCGCCGTCGCCACGAAGACCGGCAAGCGCGTGACGCTGCCCGCGCCGGCGGACACGGTGAACGTGCACGTCGCCGGCGGGAACATCCTGACGCTGCAGCAGCCCGCGCTGACGTCGTCGCGCGTGCGCCAGAGCGTGGTCCACCTCCTGGTCGCCCTCGCCGAGGACGGCACGGCCACCGGGGATCTCTTCTTGGACGACGGCGAGTCGCCGGAGATGGTCGGGGCGCGGAGCAGGTGGAGCCAGATCAAATTCAGCGGCGCGACCGAGAGCGGCGGCAGCGTCGTCAGAGTGAGGTCGCACGTGGTGCACGACTCGTACGCGCCGAGCCGGACGATGGTCATCGCCAAGGTGGTGCTCATGGGGCTTCGATCGCCGGTGCCGCCCAAGGGGTTCGCCGTTTATGCCAACGGCGTCCAGGTGAACGCGAGCACGGCGGTCGACGGCGGCGGCGGCGGGAACCCGGAGAAGGGAGCGCTGGGCGTGGCGCACGTCGGCGGGCTGTCGCTGGTCGTCGGGCAGGAGTTCGATCTCAAGGTCGTTATGACCTATTAATTAAGCCAAATAGAATTCGAGCATCATCTGAAACAAAAACCCGACGAAATTGAGCTGAATAAATTGGCCTAAATTTGAATTGTCTATTTCTTCTTTTCTTTTTCCTTTTCTCAACTTATGTTTGTGTTGTTTATTCCGAAGCTGTACAAATATATATTGCAGACCTTTGGAATACTGAACATCACAAACATAGATTGAAACTGTCCTTTTGCTTCTAAACGGAAAGGAAATAGCTCCTCAGAGCATGAAAGTGAAACCAATAATTCACCCGGTAAACTATAAACTGCATAATGCCCGTTTAGTTCATTTGGAACAGCAGTATTATTCCACAATTATCAGTTACCATCTGCGACTGTCATTTCACTGAAAACAAACTTACTCAGAGTACTTCCAAGAATATCCACGGCAGCTGACATGCAAGAGGTTTAGTACCATACCGCTTGTTTTGGTGGAGGGGAGCTAGCCATTCGGGTATTTAAAGGGTGGTAGCTGCTGGGTTTAGACTCAAGCAGCTGCGTGGTGAGCCCAAAGCGAACTATTCTTTCGCCTTTTACTAAAGAATACCGTGTGCGCGCCACAAATAGCAGCAAACTCTTATTTTTGAAGGGTGTTAAAATACCCTACATATCAAAGTTCAAAATTTTGATTAAAGTTGAAAATATGGTTATATTTTTGAAGGGTTTTAAAATACTTTACATATCAAAGTTCAAAATTTTGAACAAAATTAAAAATATGGTTATCTTTGTTCATCACGCTGAATGGGAGCTCACTGTATAAAAAAACAAATTAAATATGTTTTTTATATTATACTCCAGATAACTTGTTTCGACTATAGTGACACAGCTCATTAGTGATTACTAATCTCCATTTCAAGCTTTGTGCTGCGACAGTGTGGGAGACTGAATAGCGCATTTGTCTTGGATTCTACAGAAAACACATTTGTAGTATTTCATCTAAAGGAGCAGTAACTGTATTGGACGTCGAAAGAATACTTTTGCAGTTAGTCGTATTTCATCTAAAGGAGCAGTAACTGTATTAGACATCGAAAGAATACTTTTGCAGTTAGTCGTATTTCATCTAAAGAAGCAGTAACTGTATTGGACGTCGAAAGAATACTTTTGCAGTTAGTCAAGAGTCAAGACTAGGCTCGAGTGGAAGTCTCAAAAGTGAACCGATTCTTTTAGGGTGTGTTTGGATGGTGGGTTTTAGATGGATAGGACATGGCAGTCTCTTTTTTATGTGTGTTTGGTTGGTGGACGGGGGTGGGATAGAGCGGCTCGGAGGAGAATATTCCTCCCAGATGCCGGATGGAGGGATCCGGCCGAGGGAGGGTAGGGAGGCCAGCGGTGAGCATGCACGGAGAGGGAGGAGGCGGGGCCGGCGAGGGGGGCGGGGAGGTCGGCGAGCTCGTGCTGCCTTGAGCCCGCGTGACGCCACCTGGGGGAAGCTTAAGGCCCCCTTGGCCCCGGGAGCCGCCATCGCCTCCCACACCACCCACCAGCCGCGTGCGCCACTGTGGGCGTTAGCCTTAGCACCGGCATCCCCATGCCCGTGCGAGAAGGAGGGAGGAAGGAAGGAGAGAAAAAGAGAGAGAATGTGCTGACGTGGCATCCTAACATGTGGGGCCCACGCTGACTCAGCTGCCACGTCGGATAAAACCGGGATCAAAACCATCGAAGGACTTAAAGTGAACGGTTTTATAAGTTGAGAATGTCATATATCTAGTTTTGTGGTTGGGGGATGATTTTGTAACTCGAGGACAAGTTGAGGGACCGAAGTACTTTTTCCTAGTAGCAACCAAAAAAGAAAAGTGATGATGCGGTTCACTTGCGGCCCATTCTAGTTGGGCCATGAACTGAACAGTGCCGGACGTCGTTGCAGGCCGGGCCGGCCGGTTTCTCTTTTCATACATACCAAGGCCCACGCGACGTGAGAAGAGGATGTTGCGAAGCAAACCAGAATGTTTAGTACCATACCGCTTGTTTTGGTGGAGGTGAGCTAGCCATTCGGGTATTTAAAGGGCGGTAGCTGCTCGGTGAAAACTCAAGCAGCTGCGTGGTGAGCACAAAGCGAACTATTCTTTCGCCTTTTACTAAAGAATACCGTGTGCGCGCCACAAATAGCAGCATACTCTTATTTTTGGAGGGTGTTTTCTCTTTTTGAGAAAACGCTCTACAAATCATATTTCAAATATTGTTCATATCAAATTTCAAATATTGTTAAACTGAATGTATATAATACAACAGGGATCGAATTTGAAATAGGGTGTTTTCTCTTTTTGAGAAAATGCTCTACAAATCAAATTTCAAGTATTGTTCAAATCAAATTTAAATATTGTTGAGCTGAATTAATATAATACAACAGGGATCGAATTTGAAATATTGTCGAACTGAATGAATATAATAGAACAGGGATCAAATCGAAGCTCAAGATTTCTCTAAATAGTCATATTTCAAAGCTCAAAAGTTCTTTGCCACCATGGATTTTGGTACACATTCCAGCTGTTCTTTTATCTGGGAAGCCAAATTACCTCTGAAGATTAGAATCTTTTCCTTGGTCCCTGTTCCATAATGTGTTCTTGACTAAAAGATGTGTTGATGAAAAGAAACTGGGATGGAGAATTGGAGATCCTTCATGTTCTTGTTTGGTACATGGCTCATGAACTAGATTCTAGTGACGCATCATGTTCCTTAATTTCCTCCTGTTTTCCAGTGAACCTTCGTCTCTCTTTTCAAAGGCCTGAAAACATACCACTGTCCACTGTTCATTCATCTGGGAAGCCAAATTACCTAGTATTCAGAATCTTGTCCAGGTTCCTGTTCGAATATCACCTTTTACAAGGGAAAAAAAATGACCAGGTTGCTCTGAAATCTAAACTGAAGACAACAACGAGGTCGTTCTGAAATCTGAACTGAAGATGGCCAGATTGTTCTGAAATTTTCTGAAATCTCAACTGATCCCTGGCAAATTTGCACGGACAGTTACAAATTTACATCAGCAAAACGCCCACACTGATCGCATTACATTGCAAGCAACCCACCTACAGTAGCCAGTACAATTGTACATACACACGCTGTAAAGCTTCAGCTGCAGTGGCACACGTCACTCTTGCCACGTCACGCGGCATTCTTCTTCTTCTTCTTTCCTAACTTAGCTAGACAAGCCTCTCCTGACAATCTCACTCGGCCACTCTCCTCTTTCTTCCCGGCCGCCGGCGACGCCCGCGGCGGCGGCGCGGGCCGGGAGCGCGAGCGCCCGGCGGCGCCGGCAGGCAACCAAAACCCGATGTGCCGGCGCCGCTCGCGCTAAAACTAAAAAAGAAAAAGAAAGCAAAGCCAACTACTAGCCAAGCAAACAGATGAACTCAGCATCCAAAAAAAATTTAAATAAAAAATAAATAAAAACCCAAAGCTAGTAGTTAATTTTGGCGCGAAGTTTGATGGTGGTGTAGAGTTCTCTCATGGCGACTCGGACGAGGCGTTGGTGGAGACGGTGATGAGCGTGGACGCCGACGACGACGACGTCCGCGGCGTCGCCGACGGCTTGATGAGCACCACCGGCGCCTTGCTCTCCATCCTCCGGTGGTGCTCCCTCACCAGCTGCTCCGCCACGCCGTCCAGCCGCTCGCCGTTCGTCTGCGCCATCACCTTCTTCCCCCTGAACAGCACCGACTCCACGCTCCTCTCCGTCATCGCCGCCTCCGCCGTCGCCGCCGCCGCTCCGGCCACAATGCCATTGCCCTGAAGATGAAAACGAAGCAGAGAGAGGAGTTAGCCCTTGCAGTTCTTGCCTCGTACTTTACTCTCTAATTACAAGTCGTTTTAATTCTTTTCTTACTACAACCTCTTTTGGTTTAACTGAATTTATAGAAAAATTCAGCAATATCTGTAATACCAAATTAGTTTTATTAAATATAATATTAAATATATTTTTACAATATATTTGTTTTATGTTAAAAATATTGTTATATTTTTCAATAAATTTGGTTAAATTTAGCCCTTGCAGTTCTTGGCTGGTAGTAATAAGTAGGTGTAGAATTGTAAGATTTTTTTTTATGTTTTTACCTGGATACGGATGTAGTTGGTTGCCCTGCACTCGCCGAACGCCATTGATACAGCTTGGTCCACCTGAAAAGGCGCAGACACCGTCGGGTAAGCGACGCGACGCGGGGTACAATTAATTGTCCTTGCAGAGGGAAATGCACGAGAATTATGGCGTACCATGTCGGCCTGGCAAGCTCCGGCGATGCGCAGGAGGCTCGACGACGACGCGCGGGGGCCGGCGGCGGCGTTGTTCCCGCCGAGGGACAGCACGACGAGGTCGCCGGCGCCGGCGGCGAAGGGGAACTCGCGCTTGTTGTGGAGCACGTGGGTGACGGCCACCGCGGCCGGGTTGGACACGGCGCCGCCGCCGCCCGTGGCCGCCGCGGCGCGGAGCCTGGTCCGGCCGTCGAGGGAGGCGACCTCGGCGGGGCCCACGCCGCACGCCGCGGCGCAGACCTGCCACAGCGGGAAGTCGAACGCGTCGGCCTCGACGGCGTCGGCGCGGGAGAAGACGAACGGCGCCGCCGTCGCCATGTCGTAGCAGGGTATCAGCAGCGGCTTGGCGGCGTCCCTCACCGTCAGGTCGCCGAACACCTTCTTGAACACCGACTCCGGCCTCCAGAACAGGCCACCCCCCCGCCCACGGCGGCCGGAGAACACCTTCCGGTTCCTGGCAACGACGTCGCGCGCCGCCTCCGCCGGCATCCGGCATGCGAACAACGCGGCGGCGAGGAACCCGCCGGCGCCGGAGCCGGCCGCCAGGTCAAAGTAGTCGGCGACGCGGGCATCGGGGTTCCCGGAGAGCTCCTTAAGCCGGCGCTCGAGGCGGACCAGCGCGGCCGCGGCGAGCGCGCCGCCGTCGGCGCCGCCATCAATCGAGAGCACGCGGACGCGGCCAACGGAGGAGTAGTAACCTGCAGGCCCCTCCGGCGGCGGCGCGCCGAAGAGGAAGTTGGACTCGAGGATGGAGAAGATCTCCTGGCTGAGGCGGTCGGAGCCGCCGCCGCCGGCGAACAGCGGCAGCGCGAGCGAGGAGGTTGTCGCCATTAGCAAACGCGACGTAGAGCTGAGCCGTTTGGTTCTTGGCTTTTCCGAGATGCTTTTCTGTAGCGAAGCGAAGCTGAAGCTGAGAAGCTGAGGTGGGTGCTCCGGCTTGGTCGTCTTCTTCCTCGCTCGCGGCGCCATATTTATACTGGAGCTCACAGCTCGCCGCGCGCGTGCGCTTTGTCGCTGTCGCGCCGCGTGTCCTGGGGTTGTTTTTGGGGTCGTGGGTTTGTGGCAAAAATAATAATAATAATAAACCGGTTGGTGATGTATATGTTGCCAAAGTATTTTCCAGTGATAAAACTAAGACTCCCTGTGTTAGTTTCTCATCGCTGATATCCTTAGCCCTAGTATGGCCATGTTGTTGTTTGTTACTGTTTCCGTTCCATTTTAAGCATGGCCATGAGTTTCATTTTAAGCGCGGCCACGAGTTTCTGTGTTCAATTTTGATCGTTCGTTTTATTTGTAATTTTATATGTGATCTATGTTTTATTTTTTTTAAAAAAAACAAATAAAATGGACGATTAAAGTTGGATATGAAAACTCATAATTGAGTTTAAAATGGGATGGAGAGAGTAATTCGCTTCTTTCTATTGAGGCTTCGCTTGATAATCTTGCTACCTATTCCTTGCGTCTTAAAATATAAAAGGACTTTAGATTGATGGGATACATCATATTACTACATCTAACTAAATATAATTCGTATTCATATTCGTAGTAGAATATGTTCCATTAACCTAAAATCTCTTTTATTCTGTAACGACGGAAGTATCTTCTAAGGATGTATCACTCTGTTATATGTTGTCTCTTACATTCGTATGCGTGCGTGGTTTGTGTGCATAGTTGGTTGTGTGTGCGCGTTTTTCGTGTGCCTGAAAGAAAATTAAGTGTTGTGCATCAATTACCTAAATGTAATTTTCTTTTACAAATAACTCGATCAGCATTCCATCTATAGACAGAAATTCTTTTTAGAAACGAATTATATATTCATCCACTTTCCTTATCCACTGGAGTGTATATGCTCAATACCTCGCACATTATGTCAACAAAATCAAGGTACAATTAAGAAAAACATCAATAGGCTGTTAATTATTGAATAAAAATATAGATGGCCCTCAACTTTGGCAAGCTTGAATAAAATGCACATGTTAGGGCCAATATAAATATGAATACCATCTGCCTTTTCCATGTTGAAGTACTGCTCTTATCAGCTCACTCGATTAGCTAGGATCATTTGGGTGAAACTTTAAGGAGAAGAATGTGCGCACTTTCCCCTGATCATCCATCGATGTCAATTGATTAATTCCACATCATCCAAAAGTAGCATTGGCCCCTGAAGTATAGTACACACAAAACATCTATCCCCCTAAAGAAAAAGAAGAAAATAAATTCCATGCATCAACTCATTGCATGTCTTAATTAAGCTGAAAGAGCATCATTCTAGCCTTGTTTCTTTTGCAATCACAAAGCCAACCAAAAAAAAAAAAAAGAAGTGAACATCTCCCCAATGATTTCCATCTTTCTAGCAACCAGCAACCTATCTATCTCTGCATCTACCTCCACTCTCTCTGGCCTTAACCCTGTTCATCTGGCTCCACACTGATTCATTTTTCTTTGTTTTTTGTTGTTTCTTTCACCTTAAGCTTCACTCAATCTAAGCTAGCTATTAGCTAACTACCAACCGCTACTACTACGTGTATACGTTGCCATCACTCTGATTATTGCCGTGATGACCGGCCTTGTTGCTAAGCTACAGCCATATCCGCGCGATTTAGTGGCCAATGACCCATGATTCGTGCGTGACCACGCTCAAATCATTTGCAATGGATCAGCCCCACTGTTACTGATGAGAGAAAGAAACCAATGGATGGATGCATGAATTTCAGTTAGGTGCTTGGCATCAGTGGCAGCTAGCTACAGTACTAGTTAATTAATTAGCCAATGCAAGCAAGCAATGGTCCGTGTTTGATTTCTCCGTCAACATTCCAATTGTTTTCTATATGTGTGTGTAGTATCTCAATTGCTCATGATTAAGTTAATAACTAATCATTGCATGTATTAGTTTTATTGGTCTTGTTGCTTGTGCTTTGGCCTGATCACAACCATCTTTCTTGTGAGATTAATAGATAGGGAGTTGAGGGGATTAGTTAAAGAACCCTTCAGTAGTTCAGTGTCCCTTTGTTGTAAGGTAGGCACAAGACAAGGTCAGATTTTTAAACAAGGAACTTAATTGATGCATGCTAACCACAATATTCTTTGTTGCCTTTCATCTTCAATACACTAGTCACACTATCTTTTGGAGATTACTGGACGACAAGGTCTTGGATATATCCTATCTCTTGTCGCCCTAGAGAATGAGTAGTAGCATGCTATTCCTGAAGAATCTACTAGGATTTTCAGTTCAGCAAAAGAAGCTACTAGGATTTTCACCTGCCACTTTCAAACAGATTTCACCTAAAAACTATCAACTTCTATAATCACCAAAAAATACTAGCTACCAGTTGAAATCATCACATTATTTTCAGCTACTTCACTAGAGTACTCCCACGAATTATTCGATTCAAGCATTCAAAGATGTGTTTTCTAAAAAATCTTTTTCTACTGCAGTGTTTATAAAATATTTATTCTAAGTTATTCAGTATGATCATTTTTATAAAATATTTAATTTATCTCTGTAATCAAGTAAATGACTAATATATAAAAAAAATCTAAAAACCAACTGTCAGATGAATAATCCATAAAAAAACAAGAAAAAAGAAACAAGATATTATGTCGAGATGAATCACATACCAACAGAATGCTACAGTCAGATGGACCCCTAACAACTGTCAGACATCTGATTGCAATGTCGATAGAAAAAAAAAAAAAGCACACGCACTGCAGCATGGACAACCAGGACGTTTGGCGTCAGTTGAGCCATCACCCCCGTACGCATTAATAACAAGAAGAAAAAGATAATTAGAAAAAAATCTCCTAATCTAAAACGATTCTTGTCGATTTGCCTGTCTCGTCGTCTGCATCTCATCGGTTGTCTGCTTGCTCTTTCCATGAACCCTCCTGCTGCTTCAGATCACAATTGATAGAAATAATTAAGGAGTAGTACCTGATTACTGAATCCTCCTCTGTTTCTTGGTGCTGATCTCTGTTCCCCTTTACCAAGGTAACGTGCTACATGTGTGCAAATTGCAATTATCAGGTGCTAACTCTGAATGCTTTGCCCTTAAAAAGTGACAATACACGTATACAATGTGCTTTCTGCTTCACATCTGCATGAGTATTTACGCGTTACATGAATATATATTTGAGATTTCATCTCCTGATCTCCATGCGCACGAAGTGTGCATAAAAAACTGCAAATTTCAACTACTGATGAAGTTGTCAAACCTTATTAATTCGACTACTATTCATGATGTCTGCACTCTGCATGCATGGATGGTTCTGAAAGTGTTAAATTTTTCCCCCAAATATATAAATCTGAAGGTTCGCACATTTGCTATGAATATGACATTTTGCACGAAAGGGATATGCACATGACTTGATCATTAGCTAGGAAAATGATGGAAAATGACCCTTGGTGAAACAAATATGTACTTGAACATTCTGCTGGCAAGCTCGAACTACTTTAACAAAATGAACAAAAAAATTATGTTATCATCGTGGCCATATATATTATATTACAAAATATATATTTAATCTGCATCGAACTAACAGGAAAACGACTAGGTGGATGGAGAAGTTTGATAATCGGTGAGGAGCTAGAGCTTTCACGGCATAATCAAAGTCCTATTCACATCAAAATTTTCTAACTCTAGTAGCAAACCAATCTGTCTCCTAGATTATCAGCTTAATTAGCACACTGCACACAATAGATGCTTGCCTTCCTCTTGTGGGTCTCTAGAACATTCTCCTTGTTTGTAAATTCATCTGTAAAACTAATTGGCCAGATTTTGCAAATAATTTAACCAATCAGTAGTATGTTTTCACTTTTCTGTCTTTTCAAATTAAGGACCACTACTACTACTACTACTTCACCTTAAAACAGACGCATCTTAATTAATCATCAATTCGAGAACCATAAAGTCACACACACTTGCCCCTGCAAATGCAAAAGCCATGGCCCCCGGATCACATGTACAACGTGCAGTATAAAATCTCTCTCTCTCGTTGAAATCAATCAATTAGCGTACAGGCATTTGCTGCTTACAACTACAGTACTGCTACTGTCCGACACAAAATAATGGAGTAAATCCTTCGTTTTTTTTCCCCTTAGCCACATCTGTCGGGAATCTTCTTGCATGCTAGTAGTAGTATCCTTTTCTTCTTGGATTTAGGCAGGAACATGTTCGGTTTATAGTTATAGAAGTTAAATTTTTAATGAGACTTGATTTTATTTTGGATGGATGGAGTAGATCGATGGACACATTATTTCTTGTGTTTAACAATGTAGCATGGAAGTTTAACTGACGAAATGATGAGGGGATCTTTGCTGACGGTACACATTTAACTAACTACTGTAACTGTAACGTGTGTGTATATCAGCTGCACTTTCAATTTAAAGGTATAGCTTAACCGGCCTATGTATCCTGAGTACTATTTATTTGGACATTATATATATATATATATATATATATATATATATATATATATATATATATATATATATATATATATATATGACACTCATATGGGGCACCATGGTGTCCGGGCACCATGGTATCTAATGCACAAAATTACTCAAAATTTTCAAAATTTTCAAATTGTGAGTATATACCTAGTTATAATAATTTGATTCATACCTATACTTATCAACAAAACAACTCAAATTTAACTTTATTTCACAATCCATGATTACATACCTAACTAATTATATGTATGGATGCTATATACCTAGAATCAAAATCTAACAAAAACAAGTTCAAATTCAGTTCAAACTTGCTTTAAACTAGTTAGTAAAGTAGTTAATGTTAATACCTAAGTAATTGAAAAAGTTTCATACTCATTTGAATTGGGTATATACTCAATTTCAACAATGGTGCCCGGGCACCATGGAGCACCAAACAAATTTATATATATATATATATATATATATATATATATATATTCAAATATTAATTTACGCCATACCATAGTACTCTCTCTGTCAAA